ATCTTGATCTCCTGAAAAGTCAAAATAGGCAAAAAACAGCAACTGGCACTGGGCACTAGGTTAATCTATTAGTCCCTAAAAATGATATATAATTGCATATAAAACATCCAAGATTGATATTAGCATGAAACAATAAAAAATTATAGATACGTTGGAGACGTATCAATGTCCATCTACAATACTATGCATATCCGGCTAGTGATCAACGAAGTATGCATATCCGACCAAATAAACTTACTTGCTCGTGGATTTACGCACCGCTAGGCCATCATGCGATGAGATGCTTCAAGTGGTCGCAATACTTCGAGACGGCCTCTTGGATGGTGTACCAACGATGGTTGAGGGACTTTGATTCACGTTTGCGGATGACCACGTCAGAGTAGGGCGTGAAATGCTTGTGTTCACGGAACCATGTGTGAATGTTGTTCCATAAGGTTGTGCCCTTTTGCTTCGTGCCATGGATCGGATCGAGGCTAGGGGCCAACCATGCATTGCACAATAGCTCGTCCTCCCGCATATTGAAGCTTTCTCTTTTACCCGTCTTCTTTGGATCATTGACCAGATCATCTAGATCATCGTCCCTGCCCTTGTCTTCCAACTTCTCATCCTCCTCCTGCTGTCCGGCAGCTCAATCCGGCTGATGTGTGCTTGTCAGGGTGTTCCCTTGCCGCATGCCTGTTTGGGTGTTCGCCTGCTGTGTGCCGGTCTAGGTGCAGCCATGTTACGTTCTAGTCCGGGTGTAGTTGCCGGACTGGGTGGGATTCGAGTCTTCCGCCTGTCCGTCCTCATAGGCACCTCCTCTTTCGCCTCCGCCGTGAATGATGTCCATCATCTCCCGGTCCGTGTCGTAGGCCAACTCCCCCACTTTAGAGCATCTCCAGCCGTGCCCCCAACAAGGCCCCCCAGGCGACTTTTCGGTCGTCGGCGCCAAAAAATCGGACCAGTCGCGCCCCCAGGGGCCCATTTTTTGCCGGCTCGGGCCGAAATTGGCGCCGGTGGACCCAACCAGAACCCGGCGCGCTGGGGGGCGCTCGGGGCGCCGGACGAATCGTTTTTGGCACGAAAGCGCCGTGGGGAAGCCGCGTCAGCGACACCACCCGCCTCGTCTTCCCGACGCCTCGGTTTCCCACGGGGAATCAATGGCAAGGCTGCCGCCGGTCAGCTTTGCCATTGATTCCTCACGGGCGGCGCGTCACGGTGCGGCGCGTCACGGGGCGGCGCGCCAACGTGCGCCGACTCCTCCCCTTCCTCGGACGCGTACACATGGACGCGGCGCGACTATATATGGTCTCGCTCACCGGCTTGGAGTGCCACCTCTCCACACATCTCCCGAGCGCCGCCGCCGAGCTCATCTCCCCAACCCAGCCCTCCCTCTCCCGCCGATCTCTTCCCCCAGCCACTCCCTCTCCCTGATGGCCAAGCGTTTCCCCGGAGACGAGGCGGCGGCCAACGGCTTCAGCCGCCGTTCGCTCCGCGAACAGGAGTCCTGGCTCCTATTCCAGGCGAACATCCCGGCGCCGCCGGACATGCGCGCCGGCCGACAGGCTGGAGGCTCCGCAATGGGGGAGTGCCCATTCCCCCGTTGCCCGACGCCGTCAACAAGCCATCGTACTTCGCTGACGAGGTCGAGATCGCGCGCGCCTCTCTCACCGACGCCGAGCGATCCCTTCCCCGGTACGCCACCAACAACAACGCGGCTTGGGCGGCATACTTCGAACGCCGCCAGCAGTGGCGCTGGCGTCCACCAACGGGGCGCCGGTGGTCGGCGGCATCAAGAACAACGAGGGGCGACACCTCTGGTGGGGCGTCCCCGGCCGCACCCTCGATGGCGTGCTGACGCACCTCGAGGGCGGCAACAACCCACCGTTGGCGTACCCCCCAGCGAGGACGGCCGCCCCGGCGCACCGCCGACGCGACGGGCAATGGGCGCCAAGGAGGTTCGGCTCCTCCTCCTCTTCCTTGTCGCGTTCTTCCTTCCAATCCTCGGGCACTCCATCGCACTCCTTCAGCAAGTTTTTTTGACTAGTTTTTATATGTAATGGCATGTTTTAGCCCAAGTTTGCGAATATAAAAGCCCAAGTTTGCCGAAAATTGGCGTGTTTCAGCCCAAGTTTGTCTTTTTTTGGCCACGCCTGGGGTCGGCCCTGGGGGCGGCGGCTGGGGGCCAACTCGCCCCCAGGCCCACTTTTTACGCTGGGTCACCCCCAGGCGGCGATTTTAGGCGCCCTCCTGGGGGGCCAACGGCTGGAGATGCTCTTAGGCATACACGCGAACAGCATGCGGGCACCCATCTGCTCCCCGCCCGCCATCCGCGCCCAGACCAGCTGCGGCGAAGAACACTCCGAGAACAGCAGCGGCATTGTGTTCTCGTCGACGATGAACGACACGGTGACTGCTGCTGGGGACTGCCTACCCAGTTGCTTGGTGGCGTAGAAGTATGGAGCCTTGTAATGCCCCAGCCATGGTGGCGTCTATACGATGAGTGACACCATTTGCGCACCGCGGCCACGACCTCCACCTCGTCCGCGATCAGCACGACCGCCACCAGCACGCCCTCTGTCGGCAACTCGCTTCTTGAGCGTCTCCTCCTTTTGCGGCTTTCGCTTTGACGTGGTGATTTTGCCGTGTCACCGAGTTGATCTTTCGGGCGAGCGGGATGTTTGGATCCTCCACCACGTCCTCCATCTCCGGCAGGCTCTCCTCCATTTCCATGTGGCGGCGGTGGGAGGGGAGAAGAGAGTGGGAGAAAGGGGCAGGAATTGGGTGGAGAGCGGCGGGATGGAAGAAGAGAGTGGGGATTCTACCATGGAAACAGGGCAGACGGCTACAAAAAGCGCGCTCCGCCTGCCTTTTGGGTGGGCCGGGGGTGTCGGAGTCCTACGTGTCTGCTGTCTAGACTTGCGCAAAACCGCGTTTGGTTCCAATTTACTCGAAAAACATAATCCGGACCGATCGGCAGACAATACACGACCGCATTGGATGACACAACTCATCCGGACATATACGGGCGGTTTGAGGGTCCACATTGGAAATGCCCTGATGTCCTTATCTATTTTGTAGGCACACTGTTAGAATGCAGTATAATATACTCACAAATTTCACTAGGAACGTTGTGAGAGTATAGTAATGAGACGTGTTCTCTTTACGAGCACTGAATTTTGTTACTCCTATGTCTTAACTAGTAATTTCCCAATATGCAGATTATAGTTACCCAATATCTCTACACTTTAGAATGACATAATCCCCAATCGTACGTATATAGATAGAGGGGGAAAGAAAGATTGTAGCTGTACCTTGTGGAAGCGGGTAGTGGAGGAGTGGAGGAAACATTTGTGGCAAGTGGACTTGCGGGGCACGATCCTTCCTTACTTTGCAGAGAAGAAAATCCGCAGCACAAGACAGGTCCAAAAAAGCTGATTCGACAGAGGACTTTCTTGGTAACTCCACCGCTCTCCTCTCATCCACCTGTGTGAAAGATAGTAAAATAATTGCAGGCAACGCACAGCCCACAAGCGGAGTACTACTACTGCTGCTAGTAGTACTAGTAGTAGAGTAATTACTGTTATCCTCTTTCTCTCTCCTCTCCTATGCTCTTTTCAAACCTCTCTCCCTCTCTTGCTGACCGCTAACAACATGACAAGCAAGTCTCCACATCATGACATCACAGTCTTAACACCCTTCCAAACTTAACATCACCTTTTCATTAAAATAGTTATTATTAGTATATACCAGTACTAATTAGCCAACAACCAAACCAAATCACAGCGATTGACACCTGGGCCCACATTATTCTGTGCCCCAATTAGAAAACAGTGTTCATCAGAGTTGAGTACAGAGAAGAGAGCCCTAGAAAAAGAAAGTACATATAGAGAGAGAGAGAGAAGGGGTTGGGGTAGGGTCCAACAACTACTTACTGGAGCCAAAAGTTCTCACATAAACCTTTCCTCCCTTCTCTCTCCCCTCTCCGCCCTATTTCTTCTTATCTTTCTGTCATACTGCAGCCTCCCCTCGAGTCGCCTCCGCTCTTCCTCCGCCCCGCCCCGCCCCGCCCTGCCGTCCGAGGAGAGGAGAGGAGACCAAGGTAGGGCAGGCCGTTCCTCCTTCCTTGATCCTCGCCGATTTTACCTTCTGGCGTCGGGGATTTACCGGACCTGCATTTCCGCCCAGGGGGAACAGATTAGAACGCGCTCGCGAGGGGCTCCTAATCTGCCTAGGTCCTCGGATGCCCTCAACGGCCTCTCCGATCGTCCGTGGTTCCGCGTTTATTTTTCCCTCACTTTTTTTTTGGAGATTTTTGGGGTTTAATCTCCGCTCCTTTTTCGAGGATAAATCAACCTCTTCTCGTGGTTTTCAACGACTACTCCTCATGGCCTTTCATCTTGGTTTTGGCTGAATTTTTCAGGAGATTTGCCGGTTTTTTTTTTCTTCACGAGGGAGCCGCTGCCGCTGCGAGGAAACAAAACAATCTCCTGAGGCAAGGACGGTTGTGAAGCAAAGGTGAGAATCAGATGATGATTGGTCAATCACACATGCCTTTATCTTTTTGTTTTCTTCGCCTTCTCCGTATGCCCATGCTTTCCTGATGCTTTAATCCATGTATATATGTATGTGTATGCTTACAAGCCAAGGAACTCCAATATGAAACCCTTTTAGTTTGGCTCTTGGTTGGTTGCACAGTATTATACTAGCTGCAGCTCCTCGTGGAGTGATTCTTCTGTTTTGACTCCATCTAGTTTTTTTCCCCAACCGAATCAGTAGATAGATTCTTCTAAATAAATTATACTCCCTCCGTTCCATAGAGATTTCATATGGACTACATACAGAGGAGCAAAATGAGTGAATCTATACTCTAAAATGCATCTATATACATGCGTATGTGGTCCTTAGTAAAATCTCTACAAAGACTTATATTTAGAAACGGAGGGAGTAGTACTATTGGATTATAAACCTGAACTTATAAATCAAGTTATTGACACCCAAAAGGAAATTGCAGTGATCAAATGGCAGCCGAGTCCTCTGTTCCACAAACTTCCTCTGAATCGGCTGCTCACAAGATGGGCTTCTTCAGAGTCCCTGATCTTCTCGTCAAACTGAGCACCAAATGTTTGATTGAGTTGGATGCCGTCCGCAGCCCAACATCCCCCTTAGACCTGAAATTGTTCACAGGCCTTGCTACCAGATCACCCAGATCGTCCTTCCTTGATGCCGGCGCAGCCAGCCAGAACCAAAAGATCTTGCTCGGGGACAGGGTTGGCCTGGGACTGGTGGATTCTCTCAGTGATGAAAACAACCCCACACCCTTGGGCAGCAGGAAGGTTCTCCTTGGATCTGAGATGAGGATTACTGACAACTTAACTCTCAAGAACAGCTCCACTGCTCCTAATCAAGCTGGCCTGCTTGAACAGAAAGATGAGAATATGAGTGATGGACTCAACGGTAGTATCATGTCCCTGGATGACATTGTCAATTCAGAGGATTACACCTGCGTTGTTACCCGTGGTCCAAACCCTAGAACTACCCACATTTTTGGAGACCGTGTTTTTGAGTTTCAAGCTGAGCAACTGATGCCTGATGAGGGTGGGTGTGAGGAGAGTTTGGCCCCTCATCTGAATGGGGATACCATGAGCTTCTGTTGTTTTTGCGGTGACAAGCTCAAAGAAGGGAAAGACATCTATATCTACCAGTAAGTGTTCCAGTAAACTAGATGCACCATCGTTATGTTCTCCTTTTTGCTGGTTTAATAGATCTGCGGCTGTTCTGATTGTTGTTTAATGTTTTGTATCATGTCTTTCAATCGTAGGGGTGACAAAGCCTTCTGCAGCATGGAATGCCGGGAGAACTTCATGGAAGATGAGATGGAAGGTGAACCTTCGATAGGTCACTCTGATCCCAGCGGCCCTTCCTTTGACAATCGTTGCATTTTCCAACTGATCCAGTGAGCGAGCGAGCATCAGTAAACACTTGATGTGGTCGTATCTGAAGCGCTGTCTGAGGTTAATAAGCTGCAGCCATGGATGTGATCATGCTGATCAAGTTTTTGCGTGAAGATTTTGTCTGCTGCGGCACTGATGAAGTTACCCCCCTTAATGATTTCTTTATTTTCGTTATCTGGATCCTCAAATTTTTGGAGGAGCCTGAACGATGACTGTGCTTCCGGTCATATTATTATTTTGATCGGAAAAGGGTGTGTGCGTGTGTTTGCCTGAACCTCAATTTCAATTGGACGTCATTTTGTCAACGCCTATTGAGTGTTGTGTCATGTATCTGAACCTAAGCTTCTACATGTATTTGCATGTGGTACACAATAATATTTGAGTATACTATCTTGTTCACCTTTCATTCTGTATTGGGTCTTCATTTGATGATTAGAGTTCTTATATGGCAAGAACTATTTGATTCTTGGCAGGAGTAGTGTCTGTTTGTGGCTGTGCAAATCATAACCCCCATGACTGGTACATTGAGATGCTGCCATCAGTTTTCAGGAGACTGCATTTGTTTGAGTGAACTTGTCGAAACTTGGTTGTGATCAGTACTTGATCATTGAATTAGCCGACAAGTAGCTACTACTGTCTTTTTTTTTCGAGGGTACGCCAATGGCGTACCTTAGCTTTATAGAAGGAAGAAAAATATGTACAAGAGATTACACATCGCTAGTTAGGAGTCACAAACCGACCCTAACCAAGCCTCCACACCACTCCCTAGCTCTACTCGACTACTCTATGATCGGTTGTCCTCCGAAAGCTCCTGCTTTGGCCCAAGTCCTCAACTCATCAAAGATAGAGTCTACAATATCCCACTCGTTCTTGATTATGCCCGTGTCGAAGACCCTCGCATTCCTTTGCTTCCATATCGTCCAACAGATTAGCATCACGAGGGTGTCAAAGCCTTTCCGAGACTGCTTATCTATTCGCTTTCTCGTATCCGTCCACCACTGCACCAATCTTGAGTCATTTGTTGGGCAAAGGTCGGCCGTCAAACCCACCCTAGTAGTGCAGCGGAACCACACTTGCCGCGAGAACACGCACTGCAGCAAAATGTGGTCAATTGTATCCTCCTCCTGGTCACACATGTAACATTTTGATGCTTGGTCTTGCAATCCATGCCTAGCTCTCCTGTCCGAGGTCCATAAACGATATTGCACCGCAAGCCACATGAATAGCTTGCACGCAAGCGGTGCCCAACACTTCCATATGGCTCCGAAGCAATGGAATCTGACTCCTCCCTCGCATAGCATCTTGTACGCAGATGATGTCGTGTAGACTCCGGACGTGTTCCAAGCCCAGATGGGGCAGTCCTCGACCTGAGCGTCCAAATGAACTTCCAAGAGAATCTCCCAAAGGCCGATGAACTGTGTGAGACCCTCAGTGCATAGATCGCCCATTACATCGTCCATCCATGAATGCATGCACATCGCATCTCGCACAAGTCTCTTGTTTACCACTTGTGTCCGCACCTTTGCCACAACCAAGGGTGCAAAATCTTTAATAGCTGCTCCATGTATCCATCGGTCTTTCCAGAACAAGGTCTTGCCTCCTGAACCAACTTCCCATTTGACAAGGCTTCCAAAAGCTTGATCCACCTTTTTGTCCGAGGTCAGATTGAGGCCTTGCCACAGCCTGGAATCATCAGTGCGTCTGAGCCATTCCCATCTAAGTCTTAAAGCGATACCGTGCTTAGCCAGGTCAATGACTCCCAAGCCTCCCAAGTGTTTAGGCCTGCACACTCTAGCCCAGGAGACGACACATTTGCCTCCATTCACCGCCTCGGTTCCGGCCCAGAAAAATGCCCGACACCCCTTGTCCACTCTCTCCAGAGCCCATTTAGGTGCCTCCGCTATCATGAGATGATGTGTAGCGCGCGCCCTCAAGTAGCTACTACTGTCAAGTGTCTAATACTGCGAATGGGTTCACTGTCTTCGGATTGGCTCCCTGTGTTCGTTAGTTTAGGAGTACCTGTCATTGCAGGTGCGAGAGCTAAGGTTGCCTTCAGATTTTTATGAAGGTAGTTTCGCGTGTTTGAGAGTTAATTTTTTTTAGAATAACAGTACTTCGTCGATTGATGAACATCATGACAAAGCTCGTCTCTGATACAATCCGGAACCACACCACGATAAATACGATTTACATCCTGCTCACAACTCCGAGCTAATTTGTGTGCCGCTACATTCAAATCATGCCTGACATGTAAGAAAGAACATCGAGTAAACCCGAACGTGAGAGACTCGATGCCAGCGACAACATACCCCACTCTTGATCGATCTTGGACTTGATCCTGTTCACCATGGAGAGGCAATCTGACGCCTCACGGATCTGTCATAAAGCCTTCAGTTCAACAAACCTCTAGAGCACGCCGAATGGCAAGTGCCTCTGCCAATTCAGGTTCAGAAAAGCATTGAAGCTGCTCATTGCCAGCAATGACATGGCTTCATTTTTTTAGCTTCTTATTAAGTGCGAGAGTCCCACTGCCGTTAGCACCTTTCTTAGTACTCCTTGAGCTAATCTCTTATTGTTTTCGTGCATTAAGGTTAGGCATACGTTTATTTGCTAATATGATGGCCGGTCATAGTTTAGTATAGATTTTGAAAAATAGAAAAGTTTTTTCTTGATCATTTATCAACCCTTTCCTGTTCCATAGTTTTGTCTAATGATTAATTAAGAGGGTTGATCAGGTCATTGATACGAATAATATCCAAATACTAAATACACTCAGTGTGTGATCCACAGAAAGAAAGAAAAAGTTGTTTTGCTGAACATCAAAGAAAAAACTTGCTCTTCTTCCGTAAAAAAATCTTCTAAAAATGCCGAACCCAATCGTTGCATAAAAGTTTGTACCGTGCTTTTATGTTTACGAGCTAAAGTTCTAGCGCATGAAAGTCGAAGTATATACTTTAGTCGATGCAAAGTCTATTTTTTCGAGAGAAAAAAACTATTGACACTGGTGATTCAGTAAGTTGACTACTTTGTTCGCACTTTCTATTTGCGTAAGAAAAGTATGCTCCTTTCCCTCCTCCAACTGCCAGAGTTCACTAGGGCGGAAGAAAAATAGATGGATGGAGCGACGGGTTTGTAAGAGAAATAGAGATGAATTAGCGCAGTTAAGAACTTCCTAAGGGCTACTACCGGTGGCCATCTCAAATAATGGATCAATTGGAGCTTATCCGTTCGTTCTTCTCCACCTGATGACGAAAAGATCAGATGGTCTGATACCTGAGATCAATAGTTGTTGATTTTCTAGTTTTTTAGCTAACTCGGAACTAGTTTTTCTAGTTTGTCTGTCCCCGATTATAAGTTCTCATTCACCACGGCCTATAGGAACCAGGCTATCCTCACAAATTCGGGGAATTCGTGCCTACTCGGCATTTCACGAGTTACGAAAATGCAAGAAAGGATACTAAATCTTGTCATTAACTGAATTCTAAATAGAAAGATTAAGAAGAAAAAAAGATTAAAAAAAGACAGAAATACCCAATATCTTGTTGAGGATATAGAAGATAAAAAAATGCCCGTTTTTTCTTTCTGGAAAGACAATATTTCTTTCATCCTTTTGCATTGAAATAACAAACTGAAGTCAAAATAATATGATTCAATCTCAAACCCTTTTAAATGTAGCAGATAATAGTGGAGCTCGAAAATTGATGTGTATTCGAGTCATAGGAGCTATTGTTAATCAGCGACATGCTCGTATTGGTGATGTTATTGTTGTGTTCATGGATTAACGAAAATGTGCAAATTTGCCTCTGCCATTCTATTAGTCGCTTACTTTTTGCTTATGGCACTCCCACTCCCTTTGGCAGCATCTACTAATTTGGAACTTAATTTGAAAACTATATTTTGACCCGGACGCTTAGCCAGGTTCCTACCACTTCTTGATATTATGGATTTTGCAATCCTTGAACGCCAGTGCTTCTACAACCAACAAATACTATTTAACATAAGTATAAATAGAAATGGACAAACGAGTGTGGCTACATAGAGTGAGGAAAAAAACATGGTGGTACCAGCATTGCGTATCACTCACTATGCTTTATGTAATATGGCTTAAGCAATGGTAAAATGGGAGTCCTGAGCAAAGAACATCTGATTGATATGAATGAAAGATACATCCATCTTTTCTTCTCCTTCAAAGGTTAGGTATCCGCTCGTTAGTTCAGCGCCGCATAAATATTGACTTTAAAAGGGGCGACTCCCGCTTGTGCTTAAGTTATTTCAAGCTTGTAAAGACTCGTGATCGGAAGATTGACCCGGTTTTCTTTCAGCTGAAACTCTACCTAATGGGTTTAGATTCCCTGGGTCCATGGTTGCTTAGCTTAGACAGCCTTGTTAGAGACATGAATGCGGGGTTTGGTTTCCAATTGATTTGTATTCACCAGGACCTCCCCTTATTGGATTTTCTCCACTTTTCTAGTTTTTGTGGAAAGAATGTTGAGCAAATGAGTTTAAGGGGTGGTTTTTTATTTACTGGTTCGGGCTTAGAACAATGCTGCACCATCATAAGGACATTAGGCTCAGATTTTTGAAGCAGTTCTCGCAGGATGCACCACAGTACCATTATTACACGTACTCCTCCTTTCTTGCGTCCCGGATATGACATAAGAGTGATTGCCAAGAATGTAGCTTCAAGTTTCAAAGAGAGTTGATAGTTGGACGCTGCTACGCAGCGCCCGCGCGCTATCCGATC